TGCAATGTATTATATTATTAGCATACCACAGCATTAGTATTATATATTACTATACTGCAATATTGGCAATATTACATGAAATATATAATATACAATTATTATATTGTATATTATATTATTTACAATTATTATTATTTAGTACTATATTAAACCACAATACATATAATACACTACAAGAATATTATACTATTAGTACTATATACTATATTGTACTATATCATAAGTTGTAGTGAAATCGATAGGAACTTGAGGAGGGTCTACCCCAGGAGGAGAGACCCTGAGACCCCACCAAAGAGGGATCGCTACTTTGGCGAGCAAAGAGAAGCCTGATTTTCAGCAGTTTTATTTCCCTAAAAATCCAAAAGAAATCTCACCAAAGTTGAAGAAGCACCACCGAGATGTTTTTATTAGCGATTCAGCTGAAAAGGATGCAATGCCACAATCATTCGCCAAGCAGAGCATGTGGTTAAAGAAAACAGAGGCATTTTTATAGGAAATACAGGCTTGTGGGTTTCAAAATTCCCGCTCCCCGCCCTCCTCCTGGCTCGATGGTGATTGGCTGGTGTGATAACAGCTGGGAGGAGGCTCGGCCGCCCTCCCCGCACCAGAGCCAATCACAGAGCTCCTCCGGTGCACTGGAGCCTATCAGGAAGCTCCTACCGCCTCGGCGCTCTGGCGAATCAGGAGGAAGGGAGGTGGGACGAAAAGAAACAATGCTTTCTTGAGTGGATTATAGAATTTCAATGTCCTGGGGCTTCTTGAGTCCGGAATCGGCCTTCTAAAGAAAATAGCTTTATTGTCCTTAGATGGGTCTGTGATAAGTAATGATTACTTAATCTGGGTTTTCCTGTCGCAATCAGATATGACACAAAGAGGAGGCTGGGGTGGATATCCGTTGTGGAGAGGTTTGAATGAAGAAAACGGAGTCGGGGAAAGAGACTTTTAAAGGGTCGTCTCATCCCCATTGTTATGTGATTAGAAGTTTGCCAAGTGAAACCCCAATTTGATGGCCCAACTCCGATGTCAAAAAGGGATTTTCTGTTATATTTTCCATGCAAACATGTTTTAAGATAAGAGTTCTTTTGTGATTGCTGATTGCCTTTTCAGAGCCAGGGCAGCTTCCTTGTCGACTTCCCCCAAAGAGAGGGGAAGGGGGCAAAAGGTTCAGGGCAAGGTCAGAAACATGAGGGGAAATACATGTGGAAATATAGGAATCACAAGAAAATCGTATCAGCCACCCTCTCCCTTTCCCACCCACCAGAGAAATTGATTAAAGTTATGATTTCAGCAAAACATGAGTCCATAGTTCATTCAAGGGGAATTCATAAGTAGAAAGTCCTTTTAAGTCCAAAACTTTTGGCAGAAAGTCCAAAGTCACAAAAAGGAGTTTAGTGATGTCCACTGAGCCAAAGGATGAAGTCCTGCAGCGCTGAGATCGAAGCTAGTCCTTGGTCCTTGGGAAACTATAGATCCCTCCAAGGGCTGAAGCCCCAAGGCCAGACTGTTCCCTGAAAGCCTCATGGGGTAGCCGCACCAAGTATTCAGGGCAGGGGGCTTCGCAAGGACGGAGAAGCAGCGAAGGCAGTGGCAGCGCGGCAGCAGCAAGGCTTGGATTTTGACAATCAGCTGTTTCCTTAAAATTATATTCTTAAAGTTCAAAAGGTTATTCCCCGAGCGCAGGGGCCAGAAATACAAAAAGCGAGATAGCAGATAGTGTTAGAATTTAGCCAGGAAAAATATGCCATCAAAATGGAGCTGATCCACCATTTCATGGATACAGGTGCCCGAGGAGTTTCCTTATCCGCGGTTTGGAAGAGCGCAGGTTCGGCCTCCCCGGGACGCCAGGGAGGCATCCCTGGCAGGCCTGCAGTCTCCCACGGAAAAGGTTGGTTTCATGCACTTTGATAGTTTCAGGCAAGAAAGGGACACAAAGTATCAAGCTGGAGAGTTTAAAAGTTGCAATTTGATTAATCTTTATTGAGGGATTGGCTACATAGTTGGGGCTAGGAAAGGAGTGAAAGGAGAGAGCATAGGACTGTAAAGTCCCTGGTTGAGACAGCTGCTGGGGCACATTTCATCAGTTTGGTCCAACTTGGCATCCAGGAACTGTGGAACTCCCTGCTGCTGGTCAGATCAGCTTGAAGGCAGGGGTCTGGAATGCCCTCGACGTCAGTAGTATATCTATATATATAAATCTGTTAGGTTGGTTCAACCGGACAGCAAAACTCACAAACCCCCCAACGAAACTTAACCAAAATTCCCATGCCCATAACACAACCCACAAGGTACAAACATATCTACTCAAAATGAAAAACAACACAACAACACACTCACAAAACGACAAAACAACAAAACTCAAAAACCCCAACGAAACTTAACCAAAATTCCCATGCCCATAACACAACCCACAAGGTACAAACATATCTACTCAAAATGAAAAACAACACAACACACTCACAAAACGGCAAAACAACAAAAACCCAACGAAACTTAACCAAAATTCCCATGCCCATAACACAACCCACAAGGTACAAACATATCTACTCAAAATGAAAAACAACACAACAACACACTCACAAAACGGCAAAACAACAAAACTCCAAAAAACCCCAACGAAACTTAACCAAAATACCCATGCCCATAACACAACCCACAAGGTACAAACATATCTACTCAAAATGAAAAACAACACAACAACACACTCACAAAACTGCAAAACAACTGAGCATGCGCATTGGCGCCCAGCCGCAAGTTCCCTGGCGCGCACATGGCCTTCCGGCCAACGTTCCCTCTGCGGAAACCATGCCCACTCCAAGCCCCGCCGCGCCGCCCCACACACACACAACCCCTACGCTCCATCACTCCCCCCGCCGCCGCACACACACACGCACCCACGCTCCATCACTCCCCCGCCACCCACACACACCCAACCCCACTCCCCCCGCCGCCGCACACACACACGCAACCCCACGCTCAATCACCTCCCCCCGCTGCCGCACACACACACTCAACCCCACGCTCCATCACTCCCCCCGCCCCGCACACACACGCAACCCCCCGCCCCCATCACTCCCCCCCGCCGCCGCCCACACACACACGCAACCCCCCTCCCCCCGCCGCCGCACACACACACGCAACCCCACGCTCCATCACTCCCCCCCACCGCCGCACACACACACGCAACCCCACGCTCCATCACTCCCCCCCACCGCCGCACACACACACGCAACCCCACGCTCCATCACTCCCCCCCACCGCAACCCACGCTCCATCACTCCCCCGCCGCCTCACACACACACGCAACCCCTCACTCCCCCCGCCGTACACACACACGCACCCCCACTCCCCCCGCCGCCGCACACACACACGCAACCCCACGCTCCATCACTCCCCCCGCCGCCGCACACACACACACAACCCCACGCTCCATCACTCCCCGCCCCAATCTTACCTCCTTTTACTTCACGCCACCTCCAAACCCCACCCCGCCCCTTCCCCCCCTGTCAAAATCCAGGAAAGACGGGAAAAGGAAAGAAGGAGAGAAAGGGAGGGTAAGAAAAAGGGAGAAGGAAGGAAAGTCAGAGAAAGAAGGAAGGAGAGAAGGAAAGGAAAGGTGGAAGGAAAGAAAAGAGAGACAGCAGAAGAGAAAGAAAAAGGGGGAAGGAAGGAAAGAGGTAGAGAAGGAAGAAATGAGAGACAGAGGGAGGGAAAGAAAAAGGGGGAAGGAAGGAAGGAGAGAAGGAAAGGAAAAAGGGAATGAAGGAAGGAAAGAGGGAGTGAAGGAAGGGCGAAGATGTAGAGAAAGAGGGAGGGAAGGAAAGAAGGAAAGAGAGAAGGAAGAAAAGAGACCAGAAGAGAAAGAAAAAGGGGGAAGGAAGGAGAGAAGAAAAAAGGGAATGAAGGAAGGAAAGAGGGAGTGAAGGAAGGGGAAGATGTAGAGAAAGAGGGAGGGAAGGAAAGAAGGAAAGAAAAGAGACCAGAAGAGAAAGAAAAAGGGGGAAGGAAGGAAAGAGAGAGAGAAGGAAGAGGAGAAGGAAAGATGGGAGGAGAAGGAAGGAAGGAGGGAAAGAAGGAGAGAAAGAGGGAAGGTTGGCCACAGCAACACGTGGCGGGTAAAGGTTGTTATTTCTATTATTATTATGCTATTATTCCTATGAGACCCTGGGGGAATGGGAGAGGTGTCAGGTCCCAGAGGCAATGCATTGCATTATTGTTATTGTTATGATGGTGGTGAAATAAAAGGAAATAAAAAGTGAAAGAAGGAAGCAAACAGGGAGGGAAGAAAGGCAAAGGAAGAAAGGGGGAGGAAATGAAGGAAAGAGAGAAGGATGAAACCAAGTAGTGAAAGAAGGAAAGAAAGAAAGAGGTAGAGAAGGAAGAAAGGAGAGAAAGGGGAGGAAAAGGGGGAAGGAATAGGTAGGTACCTCTCTTTCATAATAGTCCAGATATCTACCTCAACTTTGATAAGTTTTACTATAGGCCACAGCAACGCGTGGCAGGGCACAGCTAGTATAATATATAATGCATTACATTATTAATATTAATAACGTTAAACCCCAACAATTAATAAAAGAAAGTTTTAAAAAGTGTCTAATATCTCTCGATATATAACGTCAGCTCAAAAATAAAACTTAAATCCTACTTTCCCGTTTAGAAGAAAAAACAACAAACGTTTAAGTTCTGCCCCTTTAAGAGAGGCTCCTCCCCCTCGCTTTGAGAGACGAGAGAGAGAGGTCACGTGCCTCCTTCCGCCTTTATATATTTTTTTTCTCCTCCCACGAGAAGGGAGGGAGTGAAGGAGCAAAGGCGGAAGAGCGGCCGTGCCTTTTCGCCTCCCTCCGCGCGTTTTGTCATAATGCGCAGGGGTGGGTCACGTGGTGGGATGCCGACGGCAGGTTGGGAGGGGTTGGTTGGTTGGTGGCTGCGCAACGGCGGCGCAGGCGCACTCCCGCCCCACCTGCGTCGCGCGCATGCCCAGTCCCTCGCCTGCCCGCCCAGGGTGAGGAACTGCGCACGCGCAGTAGAGGAGTGAGGGGGCGGAGCCGTTGCCGTCGACGACGCTTGCTTCCTTGCTTGCTGTTACTGCGAGTTCCGTCGTCCGTTGCCGGCCCCTGCGGTTCCCGGTCGGGAAGTCCCGTCGGAGATTGAGGAGGCGACGAAAGGGCGACGTTTCGTTGAGATTGTTGAGAAGAAGCGGAAGGCGAGAGGAGAGAAAGGAGACGAGAGGCCGAAAGAGGCGGGCGCCATGATGGAGGCCTAACAGGCCCAACAGGCCCCTCAGGGATTTGGACGGCGGCGGCGAGGAGGAGGCCCCTGAAAGGAGAAGCGAGCGAGAAAGAGGGAGGGAGCGGCCGAGGGAGAGAGGCCTAGGCCGCCGCCCCCGCGCCCCTCCGGGCCCGGGCAGCGGCGGCGGCCCCTGCGGCCTCGCCGCCGTTTCCTCCTCCTCCTTCCTTCGCCTCCACCGCCGCCATCATGTCCTGCGTCCACTACAAGTTCTCCTCCAAGCTCAACTACGACACGGTCACCTTCGACGGGCTCCACATCTCGCTCTGCGACCTCAAGCGGCAGATCATGGGCCGCGAGAAGCTCAAGGCCGCCGACTGCGACCTCCAGATCACCAACGCCCAGACCAAGGAAGGTCCGTCCGGGCAGGGGAGGGGGCTCAGGGGGGAGGGCAGGGGGGAAGGAAGGAAGCTCTCGAGGAGAGCCATAGCAGCTGCCAGTCGAGCTAAAGTCACCTTGACCCTCATAAAGGGCCCAGTCCAATCTAAGAGTGGACTCTTAGAGTAGGCCGCATCAACACTACTACGACTACTGTTACAATAATAATAATAATAATATTTGGGAGGGACTCCAGTTGGGAGGATGGCCAGGTTGGGTTTTGTGTCCTGAGAGAGAACCTCCCCTCCTCTAGCCATCAGAACTGCCAATAAAGGTAAAGCCACCTTGATCCCCTTCCCCTAAAGGATCCACTCCAATCTAAGAGTGAACTCTTAGAGTAGACCACATGTACACAACAATACTAATACTAGGGAAGGACTCCAGTTGGAAGGACACCCAGGTTGGGCTTTGTGTCCTGAGAGAGACCCTCCCCTCCTCCAGCCATCACAGCAGCCAGTCGAGTTAAAGCCACCTTGACCCTCATAAAGAATCCAGTCCAGTCTAAGAATGGACACTTAGAGTAGGCCGCATCTACACTGCTTTAATAATAATAATTGGGAAGGACTCCAGTTGGAAGGATGGCCAAGTTAAAGCCACCTTGACCCCCATAAAGAATCCAGTCCAGTCTAAGAATGGACACTTAGAGTAGGCCGCATCTACACTGCAATAATAATAATAATAGTAATAATTGGGAAGGACTCCAGTTGGAAGGACGACCAGGTTGGGCTTTGTGTCCTGAGAGAGACCATCCCCTCCTCCAGCCATCACAGCTGACAGTCAAGTTAAAGCCACCTTGACCCCCATAAAGAATCCAGTCCAGTCTAAGAATGGACACTTAGAGTAGGCCGCATCTACACTGCTTTAATAATAATAATTGGGAAGGACTCCAGTTGGAAGTACAGCCAGGTGAAGATTTGTGTCCTGAGAGAGACCCTCCCCATCTCCAGCCATCAAGGTAAAGACACTTTGACCCCCCCAATCTAAGAGTGGACTCTTAGAGTAGGCTGCACCTACACTACAACAACAGCAATAATAATGTGATTGGCACATGGTACAGTGCCTGAAGACCTTGGCCTGTACTTCAAAACAATCAGCACTGAGAAAATCACCACCTGTCAGCTGCAAAAGGCTGCCCTGCTTGGATCTGCATGCATTATTTACCGATACATCACACAGTCCTAGACACTTGGGAAGTGTCTGACGTGTGATCAAATATAAAATCCAGTATAGCAGTATTATTTGCAGTGTACTAATCTTGTGTATCAAATAATAATAACAGGGAGGGACTCGAGTTGAAAGTACAGCTGGGTTGGGATTTGCATTCTGAGGAGACCCTCCCCCTCCTCTCCTCCATATTGGAAGCCCTAGAGGATGG